TGGTTTTAAATTGAATACCTTTTGTGACTGCCAGCCATGGCATTAACCTTTTCACTACCAGAGTTCCTCGCCCAAATTATTCTGCACTTTTTTGTTTATATATTTCCAGAAATGAACCCTAATTTTGGAGCCAACAGACAAAATTTGTGTAAATTTTCAGTTTTTACTTAAAAATTTAGCTATTTTTGTTCCAATCTTCTGAAGGAAAGTGCAGACTTTAAACAGAACTATTTTGTGGATTTGTGATGAAAAGAGGGAACTGGAGGTGAAAAGGTTAACTGACCACTCTACAGACTTCCCCAAACACTACAACACAAATGCATCTCAGGGCTAAAAATTTCCAGAGGCCATTATCATTATAGAAAGTTTGAGACAATTACCCACCCTTGTGGAACTTGACACAGAGATACTGCAAAACATCTTAGTTTTGCTAGTTTTGCTGTTGGGGCAATTAAGTAAAAATAAAATCCAGCAAATTCCTTTTTCTCTATTTTATGTTCAACCTACAAAAATCAGTGAAAACAAGTCATTGTCAATGACACGTCCACGTTACGTTCATATTTGAGTGACATATACATTCAAAGCAGATCATGACCCAAATCTCAGTGGTCTGATCCGAAATGCACCTGCATATGTACAACACATTGTACTAAATCTGAACAAAATCCATCCATGCATGACTGAGATCCGGTTCTGGAATTGTGAAAATACGTGATTTTGATGCATTTTCGGCCTTAAAATGGCCATCATTCAGCTATTGTTAAGCGGATCATGAAACAAATGCACATATCTATTTGTGACATGATGTACCATGTGTGTGTGAAGTTTGAACTCGATCAATCCAGACATGTCTCGGATACGGATCCAGAACTGAATTCTTTGAAACAAAATAGCCGCCAGTCGGCCATTTTGAACTTGATCCGAAAAAAAAGAAGACATGCATCAAGGTCCTATTATGTTTAATGTATGTACCAAATTTGAACAAAATCTGTCCATGCATAACTGAGATCCGGGTCCGGAATGGTGAAAATGTGCGATTTCAATGCATTTTCGGCCTTAAAGTGGCCGCCATTTGGCTATCGTTAATGAGATCATGAAACAAATGCACATACATATTTGTGACATGATGTACCTTGTGTGTGTGAAGTTTGAACTCGATCAATCCAGTGATGTCTCAGATACGGATCCAGAACTGAATTCTTTAAAACAAAATGGCCGCCAGTCGGCCATTTCAAACCCGATCCAAAAAAAAAAAAGATGTGCATCAAGGTCTTATTATGTTTAATGTATATACCAAATTTGAACAGAATTCGTCCATGCATTACTGAGATCCGGGTCCGGAATGGTGAAAATGTGCGATTTTGATGCATTTTCGGCCTTAAAATGGCCGCTATTCGGCTATCGTTAATCGGATCACGAAAAAAATGCATGTGCATATGTCCCATATAATGTGTGATGTATGAGTGAAGTTTGAACTTAATCGGTCCATGGATGTTCGAGATACAGGTGATCACGGACGCACGGACACACACAGGGCAAACCATAAGTCCCCGTTTTCGGACTACGTTTGAACAGGGACTAATAAACTCCACACAAAACAACGTTTTTTTTGAGCAAAAATTAATTTCAGCAAAATAAATATTTGTTTCCCTTATAGTAAAAACAGCATCCTCAAACGCATACTAATTATTGTTTGTCAAATGTTTAATATGTATTAAAGATTGTTTTAATGAATTTTTAATCTAAGTTTATAAAGAAAAAAACTGGGACATGATAAAAACAATGAAGAAAATTTCTCATGTCTTGTATCCAGTTGTTAGTCGAGCTGAATGCCTTAAATTGTCAAATATTTAATATGGGAACAATATTTAGTCACACAATATTCCTGGCGGAGGAACCTCACCGATGATGTTAGGCACTCAAGATCCACCTGGGGACAGCTGCACTGCACGGCATTGCACTGCATTGCATTGCACTGCACTGCGCTGCACTGCACTGCACAGCACAGCACAGCACTGCACTGTACTGCACTGCACAGCACAGCACTGCACTGCACTGTACTGCACTGCACTGCACTGCACTGCACAGCACAGCACAGCACTGCACTGTACTGCACTGCACTGCACTGCACTGCACAGCACAGCACTGCACTGCACTGCACAGCACTGCACTGCACTGCACTGCACTGCACTGCACAGCACAGCACTGCACTGCACTGTACTGCACAGCACTGCACTGCACAGCACAGCACAGCACAGCACTGTACTGCACTGCACTGCACTGCACTGCACAGCACTGCACAGCACAGCACAGCACAGCACAGCACAGCACAGCACTGCTCTGCTCTGCACT